TAAAAGAATTATGTATTATTATTTTAAAATTTACTATAGGACGTGCACACTCATCACAGAGAGACAAAGAGAGAGATAGAGAGAGGGAAGAGAGAGAGAAGGAGGAGAGAGAGAGAGAGAGAGAAAGTGAGAAAGCAAGTCACCAAGACCAGAACTCAAACCCTGTTGGCCATGTAGGAGTCCAGCGCCCCAACCACCATGCCACCTGCTGGCCCCTTCCTTCCACTATTAAACTTTTATGTTTGTTCCTAAGGTCCTGATTAATTCTTCCAAAGCTCTTTTAATTCTGAGTTTGGTTTTCCTGGGACCCTCTCCATTTGTTTGGAAAAGTGATTCTCTCCCTCTTTTTTTCACTTACACCGGATAGTGACAGAAACACTTTTCCAGTAATGCTGGTAATGATCATGCATCTCTGGGTACACAAAATCCTGGGTTCTTACTCCTCTGTCTTCCAGAGGAAAGCCTAGACTGCTGCACCCTTTCATCCTGAGCAGCTGGCACAATAATAGGCAGATAGTTACTGGTACTGAACACAGAAGTACAGATGCTCCTAGATATATGATGGGGTTAATTCCTCATAAACCCATAGCACATTGAACATATTATTAAGTTCAAACATACTTGGCACATCTTCCAAACATCATAGCTTAGCATAGCCTACCTTAAAGGTGATCAGAAAGCTATAGTTGAGAAAATTCATCCAATGCAAAGCTTATTTTATAATAAAGTGTTGAATATCTCATGTAATTTACTGAATACGATGCTGAAAGTAAAAAAGCAGAATTCTTTTTTTTTTTTTTTTTTTTTTTTTTTTTTTAGGTTTTGCCATGAGCTCACCAGAGAGGAACAAAGACAGAAAGAAAGAGGGAAAGTGAGAAATTACCCTTAAAGGGGAATGGCCAGACCACAATCCCTTCTCTTCCATGCTCCTGTGATTTTGGGCAATTGCGCCAGGCATGATGTTTGAGCAGCCAGGGCCGCGTAGGACTCCCAGCACCTTAACCGCCATGCCACCTACTGACCTCAAACAAGATTTTCTTTTCTTTTCTTCTTCTTCTTCGTCCTTATTTATTTATTTATTTTTAAAGATTTTTGCCGTAAGCTGCATATGCTTACCAGAGAGACAGAGATAGAGAGTCAGAAACCAAGAAATCACTCTCCCTGTCCCCCAGGGGGTATGGTCATGCTGCAATCTCCTCTCCTCCATTCTCCTCTTGGGATTTTTGGGCATGCACACACATGCACCCAGTGTGAGTTCAATGGGGCCAGCAAAGGGCCTGAATAGCTGTCAGCTATGTGGGAGTCAACTATGTGATCAACTATGTGATCCCAAAGCAACATGTTTCTTAAGCATGTCTTTAAGTTTCTCAGAAGACTGTTATACTGGTGTGGAAATCCTAGGGTAAGAATACAAGGACACCTAATGCAAACGTGATATAATGGGATTTCTGATGAAGTACAGAAGGCTTGATTAGCTTACTTGGTTTTGAATTCTTTGTTATTTTTTTCCTTTTCCTCCTTCCTTCTCCTGCCTTGTCACTTCAGATTTCATTTCACCAGACACTGAGCTAATGTGAGAGTGAGGACTAGACCTGACACAACAGCCTGAGGATGAAAAGGAAAGGGGCAGGAGGTAAAAGGAGAATGTCAGGGAGAAGCCACCACGCCTGACCTTGGGAATGCCTGGACGCTGACTCGAGAAAGGAAAGCTTTACCTCAGTCCTGTTCAGGAAAGCAGGGGCATGACCAGTCCCCTGTACAAGCGGGTTAGTTGACGTCTGAGAAATTCTTCAGTAAATTTAGAATAGAAAGAGAATTATTTCATGGAAACAAAGTTCTCAGCTTATTCATGTTATTTCTATTTCTGAATGAGTACCACAATTTCATATCAAGTTTAATTTGATTATTGTACCTATCAGGGAATTATTTTACTCTGATAATTTTGCAGTTGGTTGAAAACAGAAAACTGCATTATATATGACATAAAACTGGGGCCAGCAGGTGGCCTGGTGGTTAAGGGCGCTGGACTCCCACATGGCTGACCGCAATTCAGGTCCCAGATCTGGCGGCTGGCTTTCTCATTTTCCTCCTCTTTCTCTCTGTCCCTCTCTAGTCAAGTTAAAATAAATAAAGTTAAATAAAATAATTCTTTTAAAAAAGGACATAGAACCTTTATACTATACATAGTTTATAACATATATTTATATTTATGTGTATACTATTCATATCTAAACTGGGAAAGAGGGTGAATATTGGGATGTTATGTAATTACACAATGTCTATATGTGTGTGCATATTTACATACTATTTCTAAGTATGTAAAATAGTATATTTATTAGGAATTATGGCTCAGGGGCTGGCAGGTAGCATGGTGGTTGGATGCTGGACTCATACATGGCTAACCACGGTTCGAGTCCCAGACATGGTGGCTTGCTTTCTCACCCGCTCCCCTGCACTGTGTTTCTCTCTGGTCAAACTTAACAAACAAACAAAAAGGCTAAAAAAATTAAGTAAAAAGTCTTTTAAAAGTGTTTAAAAAGAAATTATGACTCAAATTCTAAAGTATAATTTATCCTTCTAAAGTTAAATAAAATAATTCTTTTAAAAAAGGACATAGAACCTTTATACTATACATAGTTTATAACATATATTTATATTTATGTGTATACTATTCATATCTAAACTGGGAAAGAGGGTGAATATTGGGATGTTATGTAATTACACAATGTCTATATGTGTGTGCATATTTACATACTATTTCTAAGTATGTAAAATAGTATATTTATTAGGAATTATGGCTCAGGGGCTGGCAGGTAGCATGGTGGTTGGATGCTGGACTCATACATGGCTAACCACGGTTCGAGTCCCAGACATGGTGGCTTGCTTTCTCACCCGCTCCCCTGCACTGTGTTTCTCTCTGGTCAAACTTAACAAACAAACAAAAAGGCTAAAAAAATTAAGTAAAAAGTCTTTTAAAAGTGTTTAAAAAGAAATTATGACTCAAATTCTAAAGTATAATTTATCCTTCCCCACAGAGATGAAGTCAAGCTTCTATAAAAATCCATATACTTTTGTTCAAAGAAAATTTATTTCTAAGAAAGCAAAGTGTCAAATTGAAGTACTATCGAGATTTAAAAAAAAAAAGGAACTGGAGGGACCAACAGATGGTGTAAAGGTTAAGTCACTGCACTTCCGTGTAGTCGATCACCATTTGAGTCCTGGACCAAGCATCTTAAAACTCATGCGGAGCCTGTGTGTGCAGGTGCCCAATATCCCAAGAGGAGAGTGGAGGAAAGGGATTGCAGTGGAACCATCCCCCCTGGGGGATGATTTCTCACTTTTGGTCTCTCTGTCTCTTTCTTTCTTTCCAGCAGGCACATGATCCTATAGCATAAATCTTTCTCTAAAATAAATAAATAAATAAAGAGCTAGACCCAGAAGGTGACCTGTGGCTAGGGTTCTGGACCCCCACATGATCAACTGCTGTTCGAGCCCTGGACCCAGTGACTTGAAAATCTTGCTGGGTACATTTGCATGAGTGCCCAAAATCCCAGGAGAGGAATGAAGGAGAAAGGATTTCAGCATGGAAAATCCTGGGGTTGGGGTGATTTCTCACCACTTTCTTTTGCCCTATCTCTGTCTCTCTTTTTCTCAGAGCACATGTGCCCTATAGCAAAAACTAAAAACAAAACAAAACAAAACAAAGCTAATTGTTAACATTTTAGCACTGAAAGAATCCATAGAACCTTATCTACCACCTAACAATCAGTGGAATGAGAGAACTGTGGCCCCACTGAGATAAAAGGTTGGTCTGGAAACAATTTTTACGTAAAAAATGACGAAATATATGGGCACATACTATGCACATCTCAACAGGCTAAGAACAAACGTGTGCTAGCAGAGAATGGGAATAAAGACTATACATGCATACTGAATGTTTAAGAGCACCGTTTTCTTCTTATTGGTTAACCTATTCATCTTGTAATTCTGTGAAAATCTCACCAGCGTTTTGAACTTATCCTAATACTTTCCTATGCTTTATTTTTTAAAGTAAAAGATTATTCAGTATTCATAAATTCTTTATCTAATAGTAGATCATTGACTTTCCTTTATATCAGTTAAGTTGCAATAAAAAATATTTCTTACATTAGCTATCATTAACTTTTAATATTTGTTGGCACACAAATTCCCTCCAATAGATTCCCAGGCATAAGATCTGCTATTGCACATATTTTTTTCTGTTTTAGAAACTTCAGCTCATCTTCAAAAATATTATTTTTAAAAAATAAAACTATTCCCCTAACATCACTGGATTATTTACAAATGGTCTTAATTTAAATTCAAACTAACCTCAATCATGGCCCATAGTATCTTTGAATTGTCAAATAAAGTTATATTAATGTCAATACAAGCCCTTTTGTTTTTATTATAAAAGGACCTAATTTATTAGTAATCATAATTCTTCCTTACAATATTTAGTCTTTTGGTTGTTTAATGCTACTACATCTATTACAACAATTTCATTTTTTTCTATATTGCTATATCTGTATTCTCAATTTCCTCTCTAAAATTTTTAAAAGACAATTTTAGAGGAAAATAAACTCCATAGGTCCTGTTTTTCTTTTTCATTCTTACTCATTTTTTATTTTTTGCAAAACAAACTTAATAATGAAAAACAAAGTTAGTTAAAAAATATTGTCTCTAAAGTCCTGTCAAAGCTTATATTTAGCATATATTTTGGGGAGTTGTGGGGGTGATGAATAATAGTTCTTAGGTTTTTCTACTACTGAAATAACACTTAAATCTCTTCCTACTGTGCCTTAAATTCCTCAGTATTTCTGGTCTTACACAACATATCTGTGAGCTTATATGTCTTCTTAGAAATAACAGACTTACTTTGGAAAATAAGCACTTAGGAAATGTTCAACCACTTGTGAACACATGCTAGTATATTTTTCAAGCTATTCTAAGCAGATAGAACAAATTAGAGAAGTTCTTACCTCTTGAAGGACGTAAGACAATGCACATCACCAATAAAGCGAGCATAGCAGAGATGGCAACTCCAAACACAATTTTTAACCATGTCTACAGAAAATACAGAAAATTAGGCATAGACACAGTTCCTGCTAAATAGTAGAAATGGCAAGATTTTGTTTATACCTAAATCCTATTTCTCCCTCCCCACAAAGCTTTTGATTGTCTTCCACTGATCTGGCTATAATTGCTGGAATTCTTCCAGCTTTGCAAGGACAAATGTTTCTACAGTATATTTAGAACAATTTCCCAATCCCAACCACTCCAGGAAGAAAATTCTTATGTACAAATTCGCACTTTGTAAACAAAAGAAAACTCTAATCGCACTCAATACAACTAAACCCCATTATTTAGCAGCACCTGAAGCCATATATACTGACCTTCATTCTCCAGATGTTTTTGAAAGTTAGCTAATTCTAACTTCAGAGCGTGGGTCACTAGATTTGTGAAAACCGTTGAAAAGAAGCAAGTCTGTCTTCGTACTTGGAAGCTGAAGCCAGGACAAGTTTTTTTTTTTCCTTTTCTTTCCACGGACTTTTAACTTGCGTGCCAAATTTTGAAAGATTTCTGTAAAATTAGAAACAGATTTTGGGGGCTTTCTTGGCCTTGAAATGAACTGTGAGTGGCTCAAGGGAGGTTTTATAGCCTCTCATCCTTGTAAATTCTACACCAACATCTGCTTACGTTGACATGCAGAGGTTTAACATTTTTTTGGTTTGTTTTTACAAGTTCAGGTTTATGCTTCGTTTTCTTTTGTAAATTACTCATGGATCACCATGGCACTTCACTTGGTTTTGTATAACCTTTCTATTTTCAACCAAAATATGTATTTAAAACAAGGAAACTTTAGGTATGTACATTATATAAATACGTAATTTTTAGCAGAGGAAGAACATTGAAGTCACATAAGATTTTGTGAGAAATACACCATGTAACTGTACTTTTTTTTCTTCTTCTGGGAGATTATGAGGTACTGCAGACAGAAATGTTTTTCTTTCAGCACAATTTCTTTGTCCATATAGCACCATATGCACTTTCAGTAAATACAGAAGTTTAAAAATTCAACTGTCTAAACCCACGGCTGCTTTACTTTAAAGAAATAAAATGCCATCTGGTGAAATTTAGTATGGGTTAGGTGTGTATGCACAGGCTAGAAAGATGGAAAGATCAGTAAGAATAATTTACCAGCAGACCTTTGGAAGAATGGAAATGGCTTTGCAAGAGTGATATTTTTGCTTTCCTCTCAGAATATCTTCTGAGAGAGGAGAACATTTAGTAATTATAAAAACTTTAAAATAAATAAAAAAAAGCATTTGAAAAGAGAAGCAGTTTTATATACAATTTCACCTTGGCTAAATCTAAAGGATTTTTAAATGATTGGTCAACTTGGAACTAAAATGGTTGATGAATTAAAACACACACACACACACACACACACTCACACGCACACACATACACACAGTTTCTTGGAATGTTCTTGCTGGTTCAATACAGTTCATTTGGATAGATGGTGAATCCACATAAACACAGTTCTTCACCTACTGCCTTTAATTTTTTCACTAAGGTTTTATTCTTTGGAACTTTCTAATATTCTCAGCCTGACTAAAACAGAGGAAGGTCTAAGGAAGGATATTTAGAAGAGAAATAGGGAGGCAAAGTATTAATGGCACAAAGAAACATGGTATTATCTGTTGAAGATATTTTATAGTTTTATCAACCGTACTAGGGAGAAATGTTCACCTGTTGAAATATCCATTTTGTAAGCCAAATAATAATGTGATTGAATGTATAAAAGAGAATTAAATAAAATGAATTAATTAAAAAAAACAGTTTTATGAAAAGTAATGAGCAAATCTTACTAAAATCAGTTGCTATTTGCTTTAGTCAACTGGAGTGGCTACCGGAATGCTTTCTCTAGCAAAGAGCAGGACGGTGGCTTCTAAACTTCCTTTCAGACATTCTCCAGACATCCCTCCCTAAATTCCAGCCTTATGAAAATTCTGTTGAGGAAAAATGAGCCATTACTCACTTAGTGGCAGAGAAGTGTGTCCACATTGGTTTCAAGATGAGCTCCCCCTCCTTTGCAATTGGCGGGGTTACCTCTTAAAAAGTGAAACAATCATTTAGATCAATATCTAAGGCATATTATACACTTTTAGGTGTTTATATGTAATTATAAAATCCTCAAATTCAAGGTAAATGTCAGTGGCCAGGTCCCAAAAACTGCTCTGAAGTGGATCCTCTCAAATTAATTGCCTTCTTCAGAACATATACATAGTGTATGCTCAGAAGTTCTGTCCCAGTCTGCCAAAGCTACAGTTCACAGGTACTTTTTAGTGGTTGATTGCCAACACTTTACATTCTGGAGAGGAAGTGACTGTAATAAGTTATTAAGCTGTAATTAAAATGCCTACTGTTGGTTTTAGCAATTAAAAATGTACTCGCTCACATGAGCCTTGGGCTGAGTACCAGTTAGAATTCAACAGCTGAGTGTGGGCATCCACAGAGACTCATTTAACAGGCTCTATGGAGAAATTCGAGTGTTTCAGGAGAGACACTTTTAAGTCAGAACTGTTAGTAAGGGGGGAAATTATGAGGACGAAATATGTTTATTTAAGTTTTGCTTGCTTTTTCTTAGAAGGTCGTGTGAGTCAAGCTGTAATTTTTGGAAAGTTTTTACTTGTTTGAGTCACTTTAAGAAAAATGAGACTGACTACAGAAGATGGCAAAAGTTTTCCATGTGATTTCATGGATTATGGATGTATTGCTTATAATAGAGCAATACATGTCCATTCCTTTGACATCTGCATGTGGTTTAATTTTTAACCAAATAAATACTTCCACAAAAAATGGATTTAAAAAATATTGTTACAGTTTTACTGGCCCTTTTTACTTTTGAAGTAAAAATAAAAATGCTAACTTTAAAAAAAAGTTAAAGTAACTAATTCCTATTCTCATTTTATGTAGCTAGTTAATATCCAGTCAACATCCTTGTTGGGAAAACAAAAATGAATTAGACTGTCTATACTCTCAAGGAATGTTCCTTCTAGTACATGTATGGCAGGTAAGTTCTTACATATTTCCTTATTTTTCCCTGGAACTTTCGCTAAGAATGAGCCTGAAGTTGGGCTTGTGCTTAGTAGAAAGTGCCTTGATTGCTTGGTAATACTTTCATGGACTTGGGAGGAGGAACAGAAAGGATATGTGAAATCCTTAATTCACGTCTAACCTGTCAGGTCTAGAACGTTTTTCAGAAAGCAACTTTTGACCTATTCTAATGCTACAAGAGCAGAAAGGATTATTTTGCTTGTAAAGTTTAAGGATACAAATTAGGGTAGTAGAATCTCATCAACTAGGCTTTTCGCATAAAGTACCTTTATAAGGCCTAAATTGGAATATAAGACTATAATTACATTCTGGTGAGTCCATTGGGTAAGTGAGGTATAACATAAATTCTTAGGTTACAAAGAGAACTTACTAGGGATCATCAGTTAGTGTAGTGGCTATGTCGCTGGACTCCCATGTAGTCAACTGCGGTTTGTGTCCCGGACCCAGTGACTTAAACTCACGCTGGGCGAATGTGCATGCGCATCCAAAATCCCAAGAGGGATTGTGGCATGGTCAGCCCCCCCTGGGGGGGGGTGATTTCTCACTTTCTGTCTCTCTGTCTCTCTCTGTCTTTTTGGCAAGCACACATGCCCTATAGCAAAAACCTCTAAACACACACACACACACAAAGAGAACTTACTAGCACTATTTAGCAATATGCAAAATGACTTGGATTAACATGGTTTCTCAGAAAACACATTCAGTTATATATTTCTAGTGTTTGAAGAAAAAAACCATGCTGAGAGAATCAATAAGGATGTTATCTTTTTATTTTGGGATGGATATACAGGAAAAGGGATGCATTAATTAACCAACGGCTATGAAAAAAACATTAAAGGAGAAGTAATGTTAGACATATAAAGACACAAGTGGAGCCAAGATAAGCCTTGATTTTCACTATTTAAAATAAGAATTTGTTTCTAAAAAGCCTAAAAGCTCTTGAAAGCCTACCCATTTGATTCCTCAGATTAAATAAATATTTCTTACTGTTATATAGAAATTTCTTCAATATATTATTTTAGTTAAGTCATATCAAAATTAGATAACTTGGATGGGACCAGCAGTTGGCATAATGGTTATATTGCTGGACTCTCATGTGGTTGACTGTGGTTCAAGTCCTGGACCCAGTGGCTTAAACTCATGCCAGGCACATGTGCGTGTGGGCCCAAGATCCTGAGAGGAGAATGGAGGAGAAGGGATTGCAGTGTGGCCATCTCCCTGGGGGGTGATTTCTTGTTTTCTGTCTCTCTGTCTCTCTCTGTCTTTCTGGTGAGCGCATGTGCCCTATAGCAAAACCTCTCAAAAAAAAAAAATTGGATAACTTGGAGCTCGCAGGTGGCATGGTGGTTAAGGGCACTGGACACCCACATGTCCAACCATGGTTTGAGTCCCAGACCTGGCAGTTTGCTTTCTCTCTCTCTCTCTCTTCCTTCTCTTCCTCTCTCTCTCTCATTTCGTCCGTCTCTGATCAAATTAAAATAAGTAAATAAATAAAAAAGTTAAATAAAATAATTAAAAAGAAATTAGATAACTTGCCCAAGATTCTACTAGATCCCAGTGTTATTATATTACATTGCTTCTTTGGAATACTTTCTGAAATTGATTAAATGTAATAAATATATTTTTTAACATCTTTAATTGACATCTCATTGGTTTTCCATTGAGAAACAGTTTAGATATGTTAGGATAAAGTCATTAGAACTAAAATATGTTCCATTCTCACATGCTCAGAGTACATTTTTACACATGTATCAAAAAACCAGTCTCACTCTACAAGACTGTGTCATAAATATTAATTTGTTTAGAGTTTTATTAGAACTGGGGTCTGCTAATATGAGAAATATTTAGATGTTATCCAAAATGAAGATGACTTTCTTCAGGGACTTGTTTAAATCTGGCAATTCATCAGGTCCCTAGAGACAAAGCTGGTAAAACAGAGAAAAAGCTGTTATTTGAAATATTTACCTGAGAATTTGGTTTACCCCAAATTACGGCAATTAAATGTAGAGGAGAAATACTCTTATCATATTTCAGATTCTTTATAAAAGTGCTGAAGAAATTTCCAGTTCACAATAGCAAACTGACCATATACGTTGACCTCCTTCCCTTCTGAAAATACTTTAAACCAATTTCAGATGGCTTCATGGTTATGTCACTGGACTCCCACATGGCCGACCGTGGTTTGAGTCTCAGATTAGTGGCTTAAAACTCACTTTGTGTGTGTGTGTGTGTGTGTGTGTGTGTGTGTGCATGCTCAAGAGCCCAGGAGGAGAATGGAAAAGAAGGGATTGTGGCATGACCATCCCCCATGGAGGGTGATTTCTCACTTTCCCTCTCACTGTCTCTCTCTCTCGCTAGTGATTGCATGTACCCTATGGCAAAAACCTCTTTAAAAAAAAAAAAAGGAAAGGAAAAAAAGGAGAAAAAACATGCACACATACAACAAGAGAATACGGAGGGTATCATCTGTGGACAAACTAGAACAGAAATAACAGCTATCAGGAATACACTT